CCAGCCCATCTCACAACAGCAACTCTTGCGAAGCATGCCGACAGTCGTGTTTTTCAGGCGTGTGTCCGCTTGAGTTGTTCGGGCCCCTCGTCCTGGTGTGAGTCGTTCGGGCCCCTCCTCCTGGTGTGACTCGTTCGGGCTCCTCGTGCTGTGAGTCGTTTGGGGGCCTCGTCGTGGTGTGAGTCGTTCGGGCTCCTCGTGGTGTGAGTCGTTCGAGCGCCTCGTCCTGGTGTGAGTCGTTCGGGCCCCTCCTTCTGGTGTGAGTCGTTCGGGCTCTTCGTGGTGTGAGTCGTTCGGGCCCCTCGTCCTGGTGTGAGTCGTTCGGGCTCCTCGTGGGGCCTCTTGGGGGCCTCTTGGAGCCTCTTGGGGGCCTCTTGGGGGCCTCTTGGGGGCCTCTTGGGAGCCTCGTGGGGCCTCTGGGGGCCTCTTGGGGGCCTCTTGGGGGCCTCTTGGGGGCCTCTTGGGGCCTCTTGGGGGCCTCTTGGGGGCCTCTTGGGGGCCTCTTGGGAGGCTCCTGGGGGCCTCTTGGGGCCATCTTGGGGCCTCTAGCGACCTCCTCAGAAGCGTAAATAAGCGCTGCCCCCTGAGAAGGACAAAATGAGCCCAAAACCTTTATGTAAAATCAATGATTCTGCTATGAAGGAAGATGAGCGCGGCCCCCTCAGGAGGCCAAAATGGGGCCGAAACCGTAGTAAAATCAATGATTCTTGCTTCAAAGAAGAGCAGAGGGGCCTATCTCCGCCCCCCCGTCGGGGCCAGAATCCTCGTGAGGGTTGTCGTTTTTTGGCCCTCCCAGGAGTCGAAATTGACCCCTCTGACGACCCGCGAAACCCCCTCTCCAGGCCCTGGGGGAGGGGGTAGGGGGAGGGGTAAACCCCTCCCCGAAGGGGAAGAAGGGGGGTTGAGAACAGAGAGAGCTCCCTAAACCACTCACGCCCAAAGGGCTGGTGGGATTTATACGTCGCACCACGCAATTGCCGATATGAGCGAGGGGGCGGGCGTGGGCGTCGAGCCGGCGGACCTCGTGGTCCTCACCTTCCCTGTCGATGGCGCCCTCCTCCTCCTCCTCCTCCTCCTCCTCCTCCTCCTCCTCCTCCTCCTCCTCCTCGTCCTTCTGCTCCTCCTCCTCCTCCTCCTGCTCCTCCTCCTCCTTTTCCTCGTCCGCGTCCTCGTCCTCATTGTCGTCGTCGGGCTCTGACAAGTTCAGCGCGGGGGGGATCGCTGGTGGGCCACCCGGAACGAATGCAAAAACAACCCGCCGCAGGCGCCGAATGTTTGGTTTGTTCAGTGAACGTCGTTTGGGTCGCGGGTGGGTCGCGGGCTCTCCACCTCCACCTGGAAGGAATTCAAAAACCGCCCGCAGCAGGCGCCAAAAGCTTTGATTTGTACATTGAACGCGGTTTGGGTCGCAGGTTCTCCACCTGGAGCGAATGCAAAATAATCCCGCCGCAGGCGCCGAAGTTTTGACTTGTTCAGTGAACGTAGTTTCGGTCGCGGGTGGGTCGCGGGCTCTCGACCTCCACCTGGAAGGAATTCAAAAACAGCCCGGCGGAGGCGCCGAAAAGTTTCATTTATACTCTGAACGCGGTTTGGGTCCCTGGTGGGTCTCAGGTTTTCCACCTGGAACGAATGCAGAAGAAGCCCGCCGCAGGCGCCGAACATTTTGGGTGGGTCGCGGGGTGGGTCGCGGGTGGGTGGCGGGTGGGTCGCGGTGGGTCGCGGGTGGGTCGCGGGCGCGGTTTGGGTCGCGGGGTGGGTCGCAGGTTCTCCACCTAAAAAACGAATGCAGAAGAAATCCGCCGCATGCGCCGAAGATTTTGGCTGGGTCTCGGGTGGGTCGGGGTGGGTCGGGTGGGGTCGCGTGGGTCGCGGTGGGTCGCGGTGGGTCGCGGGTCGGGGGTCGCGGGTCCGGGGTGGTCGCGGTGGGTCGCGGGTGGGTCGCGGGTGGGTCGCGAGTGGGTCGCCGGGGGGGTCTCGGGGTGGTTCCCGGGGGTGGGGTCGCGGGTGGGTCGCGGGTGGGTCGCGGGTGGGTCGCGAGGTGGGTCGCGGGTGGGTCGCGGGTGGGTCGCGGGTGGGTCGCGGGGTGGGTCGCGGGGTGGGTCGCGGGTGGGTCGCGAGGTGGGTCGCGGGGTGGGT